CCTGCGTCACGGCTAAAACCTCTGTGCAGGTTGTTTTGTGTAAATTAACACACAGGTTATCCGAATCGTGTTACTCTGTTTCAACTGAATCGTATAACATGTACTATACGATTCAGCGTTTAGACACGCTCAAAAGCTAGCCTGCCTTAATTGAGATATATATTAACCGGTTTCGTTACTAACACAAATTCAAATCACTATTGTTACCGTTACATTCAACATAGTCCGGTCGTTTCGAAAATAATCATTTTTATTCAAATTTCACAATTAAATATCGCCGATACAGTTCAACTGGTTTTTCAGGAAGCGCATCTGCCGGATGAATACTTAGCAGTTAAGTTTAATCAAAATGAATCACTTCGAAAGAACTTTCAAATCTCTCTCTGAATACATATAACGTCGACAGTGAATTGAAGTTCTCGGAGCGTGGAAAAAAAAGCACTTTGAAAAAGCAGGAAAAGTTTTTATTAATTTCAGTACTCATCAACTTTGCCTCACGCTAATAACGATGATTTATCTTGCTACTGTAGCACTCGATCATAGTTTTTTTTTCTCTCTCCTTTCTTCTAAAGACATCGATCTGAACGGACGAATAATATTCCGCTGTAATTCCTATTCTACAAGAGAGGTTCTTGAACTTTTAACCTGGACGAACATAGAAGAATGAAACCGTCAACTTGCAAATCGAATTTGCTCTCATTTCGTGTCTGCCAAACACGGCACTTTATTCAATTACGGGAATATTGGCACCGCTACGATCGCTCGATTGTATTTTCACTCCGCTTGTACCGTTTTTAGTAGACGTTGAGCTAGTATTTTTCTATGGAATTATTCTAGATTAACGTTGAAATTATACGCACCACGTAAATATTCGTGCACGACGAAATGTATAACTCGTAGTTATTTATAACAGATCTCTTTACACACTTATATTTATAAACGATGATTCGCTGAGATAACATTTCATTAAGAGCTACGCGGCTGTAGTTAACAGTTCTGACTAGAGATTATAACAATATTGCAGTTGTTTATTCTAATACTTTGTGTCTATAAACGTGCTTCTCAAGATTTTCTCGCAGGTATATTCGAATAGTTCTACTATCTTCGATACACCGATATTACAACGAATATCTACAATCACTTGTCGATATTATTTTTTATAAACAGTAACAATATTATTGCAATCTTTCTCTTCGTTGTCGAAGATAGACGCTGGTGATGTCGACGCGTGCACAGGAAAATGCGAGAAAAAGAAAGGAGAATAGGTAGCACCAGATATTGTCTATGGTTAGACTTGACGTCGAGGAATATGCTCCACTGTTGCTCGATTGTACCCAAGTCTCGCTAGGGTTGCAATAATATTCATCGTTACTTGGTATCACGTCTTTCACGATCGCGAGGAATATGTCCAGGGGACACAATTCCACGCACTCGCCGATCTTTTTGATTTTTAGCTGCTCGGTAACTCCGGTCCAATACAGAACCTAAGATGTAGAACAGAATAAAGAAGAAACAACGGATCAATTTCGTAATTTTAGAAATTTGAATATCACATGTAGAAAAATTAAAAAGATAACAGATCGAGTTCACAATTTTGCAAATTTTCATTTCACGTATAAAAATGAAAATGAAACAGAAACGATAGATCAGTTTCACAATTTTATAAATTGTAATTTTGCATATAGAAAAAATAAAAAGAAATAATAGGTCGAGTTGAAGAGAAAGGAAGAAAAAAATAGTAGGTGGAGTTCATAATTTCCTTCGTACTATTTTTTTATTTGCTCTATCAATATTTACCCGGACATAGTAATTTCCTTTCTTGTCACGGAGCGTTTCCAAAATGAGCGTGGCTCCGTACGCAGGAACAATGGGTTCGTCCAAGTCCAAAGCCTTCGCAACTGCAGCGACGTTCATCTCGTGCGCGGAGAAAAGGAACGCTTTCCTATCGTACGGTTCCAATCTCCCTGTCTTGTACGTCTTGATATCCTCCACCATTTTACGTATCAACAAACCTACCAGAAAAATAGAACCAACATAATCACCGATTCATTTTCCGCGACACTGAACGCAAACTTCCCCGCAGAATCTAAAGAAAAAAAGAAAAAATCAACGTCCTTATACCTCCGTTTAAACGTTTCAACGTCCTTGTGAACGATCTGAGATTAAAGTCCAACGCGAGTATTTCCTTCATTGCTGTAGGATAGACAGTTCGAGTCCACTCTGGTAGCGACAGGTTCTGAGCTGCCTAAAAATCGACTTCGTTTTAATCGTCACATCCGTTCGGGCGCCTCCCTTCGACATACTCCAGCCAGTGAAAAAAATCATCTTACCTGTTCCTTCAATAAATTGTACAAATAAGTAACAGCTGACGTGGTGTTCATTGCCTTTCCAGTACGTTCAGTCAGATATTTCGTCACGTTTCTGTGCTGGTCCAACATGTCCTGGGCGCTCTTCTGCCTCAGAAATTTAGCGTATTCCTCCTTGTACCTTAAATCACGAGATGGGACAAAATGCAGAAACGTTAATTGCGAACGTGAAATGTCACCGGGCCGTTCGCTTCCCCCGTGATTCTATTTTTTTCCGCGAATAATTCGCGTCGCCGGTGTAACGAAGGCGAGAAAGAATTACCTCGGGCAGTGATGCGGAAAGAGAAGATTGTCAGCCTCATAGGGCACGAAGAACGAGAATGTCGGAATCCAGGGTAGATGTGGATTCCAGGTTTGCTTCTCCGAGGGCGGGAATAATCCGGCGAGAACTAGCTGTAGAGACAAGTGAGTCCTTGGGACGTGCGTTGATCGAGCATAGATCTTCTCCGGCCAATATTCCGCCCCGAAATATCGATCGTAACGCTCACGGAGCATCGTACCAATCCTGTATTCACGCAGCTTACCTTGCTAGATAATTGGACGAAACAATTACCATTCGTGTGTTGCCAGTGCGTTCCGTTAATGACTTCGTAATTGCCTCGCGATGAAAAATCACCTCTGATCTTACGCGCCGTGCTCTCTTCTTTTCTTTCTCTTTTTCTCGCGTGGAAAAGAACGATGGAAATGTCGGAGATTTGGAGAAGGTAGTTAAAAAGATATTAAGATGGAGAAACACGATGTCTATTTATATCGACGTTGTTGGGATAGGGTAATTGACGATGAACTATGCAGAAAAAGAATGACGCACGACGTCAAATTTTAGAGGAGAAAAAGATCCGACAGGTGAAAGAAAAAAAATAATGTGAAAAAGCAGACAGGTTGGCTGTTTTTCAAGGATTTCTCGGAAATTACGAAATACTTAGCAAAACCACACCTTGGTGTTAATACAGTGTACGATTCTAATGTAGATCTTTATCTAGATGACTATCAGAGCTATGACAGGCGAGATTTCATTGAAATACACGGGAACAAAATCACAGATGATTTTCATACCGCTGAAATAGGCTGGCGCGTATACGAATCTTTTGAATTATTCACTCACGTTTGTTAGATCTCCGTTCCCCATTGGATAATACGAGTAGTCCTTATAAGGATCGTTAGGATAGTTTTGGTATTCTCGATGTGGCACCTTGTCACCGTGTCGAAACACCTTCGAAAACACGCAGAAATATTAATTCTCTTTACCTGTATCTTCGGCGAACAATCAACGTAACATAATCACACATTTATCCTCCGCGTTAATAAACAAACGATCTTGCACTTTCACTGCGTGGTATTTAGGAAAGTAGGCCAGATCCGTGTCGAAAACCTTGGTTATACTTTCATGCAGATCTCGTTTGAAAAAAAGGAAAAAATAAAGAAAAACACGATCTGGACAATGAAAAAACTGTTCGTTTACCACGTGTAACATTTGTAAATCCAGATCACAGTTGGCCATCGTGAGGACGTAGAGTAGAAGGGTAACGAACACCACCGTACGATTTCGAAACATTTTCGCAAGACTGTCAACGCACGAACCCGGCAAAGATGCAAAGCTCGACAGTTACGTCCGGAATGCACAATTTCTCTGCACGATCTACGAAGAAGTATATATTCCTGGTCGTGCTTAACTAAAACAAGTGTGCGAGTGGGGGTGGATAAGGAACACAGGCGAACAGGTTTGCAGTTCTCTCGATTTTTATCGTTGGTTCCCCGTTTTTGCTCGTTACGTTGATCCTTTTCCTGCTACGGACTCTCGTGGCTCTCGTGGTGCTCCTCGAAGGCCACGTACTCAAAGAATGGGAAATCTGGCGGAGATTGTCCCCAGTCTGGGTGGTTAAGGTTCAATATCATATCCTCGAGAAAGCCGTGTTTCATCGTTAAATAAAGATTACCCTGGATTGCCTTGAAGGAACACGGACAAGTGGTTTCACGTACCCGAATATTCTCTCTCTGGTCCATGACTCCTTTGTTGCTTAATCCAACATTAGAAATTCAACGAAGAAGGAAAGTGAATTGGAAATTCACCGTCGACTTATGCAATTCGTCGTCGAGTATGCAAATTATCAGAGATACCTTTTAGATTATTTTGGAAAGTTTCAGACACGCCAAAACGTGTTGATTCGCTAAGAGGTGTTTAATTTATCAGTGATAAGACATTTTGGAAAAGGAAAGTGAATTTCGCAATACTCCTTAGACATTTACGTTAAATACATATGTACATATTTTCAACGAGATTTTAATTAAGACGACTCGACGCTTCGTTACGAGGCACGTACGATGCTTACAGCGTTAATCGATCGAGTAATTCGAAAATTTACACGAACCTCTGGTCATCGTAACGAGCCATAGTGCTCGTAAAAAGGAGGGCCTTTGATTAATCAAAATTTATCGGCGCAACACCGCGAGTAGATTATGAAACATTTTCCTGTTTCGTCTAATTTATTCTTCACGAGAATATATACCAGAGTCCTTGCACCGTCGAGAATTCTTCTTGATTCTCTTCTGACAGGCTCGAACGATTATATTTATATTTACTTCTTTCGAAATCGCGTTCCACGTAAACGGCCAGAAGATTTGGAATTCATCATGAAAAATCTTACCTGTCTCGCTGGATTTCTACTATCTTCGTATCGTCGATGTAAATATTTTTTTCAACGACGACTGTTGCGATAACAGCTCGGATGAGTTCGCCGGTTGGTATAACCGTTCTCTCGATAAGTTCACGCGTCGAAAGCGTTAACGATGTTGACGAGAGGAGAACAAATGGCAACTTGGCTATCTTTGGTCTTAAAACAGGTTGCAGTTTCGTAAGTTTTCAATAGTAGCGAAGCAAATGCTCGCGCCGTTTATCAAGGATAAGTTGACTTGATTGTTATCGATAACCTCTGTTAGATTGCAACATAGTATTGGTGTATTGGCCTTTCGCCTTGTTGGATTTTCTCCGCCGTATCGTGCACGCACTCGATTAGACACACAAATTCTTCTGAGCGCACGCGTTTCATTCTTCAACTAGAAAGTCAACAGATTTACTGCAACTTTGGTAGGAATAGAAAATAAAACGGACCATTTTTCAACGTTCAGTTTGTATCTAATCTTCGATGACGTTCGAGGAAAGGTAACTATTTCTGAAAATAGTACTAAGGAAATACCAATATGAATCACGACGATCAGTGACGTGCTCGGTTTCTTCCACACAGACACCGTTTGCTATATTAATCACCTGGCGCTATTTCGATGTCACCTGACATTTCACGGGGATTTCTGGTTTAACAATCGTGTCACGCTCGTCCCGTCCAGGATTTCCTTTTACGATTTCGTTCCAGGAATAAAGAAACTTTGTACTTCTGTGCAGTTAAATGGTACATTAAAAATTACGACGAAACGTTTCCTTTCGCTTCGCTCCGGGACGCGTTAACGATGAAAATAAATTTGCAACTTCGCGTGCAGTAAATTGCGCCGATTGCAATTTCCCTCTTCGATGAAAACTAATCACGATTATCTTCTCCTATTCTATCGTTCCTTTCGCGCAAGTTAGAAACTATTATACACGCTCGCGTATGGAAATACGAAATTACACCTAAAGCGACCTTCGTTCAAACGAAACGATTCATTTAACCATTATACCATACCATAAGTACGTGATTTCAGCGAACAGGCAACGGTTGGTATCGTTACGCGATCATTCGAAGCGGAAACATCAATTATCCGCGCATTAATTTAAACAGAATTCGTTCTACATCTTTCGTTTTACGCAAAACACCGTAGAAAATCTAACGATATCACGAGCATGAACGCGAACTATTTATAAACGGTAGATTTCACACTCCATTTCAACTTCGTCCAATCGAAAAGATCGCGCAAGCCGCGTTCTTTTTAATCATCTCCACGTAAAAATAATTACCAACCTTGCGCCGTGATTCTCGTTAGTTTTATTCCTTCTCTACTTTATCACACGCTCGAATATTCGGCTTGCTTCGATCTAAGAGAAAACTTCCCCCCCTCTTTCGAACCGTTCAATTTGCAATATTAAATATTGGAAAACATTTTGCTCGATTCCCCGAGCGGTTCGCCCTTTTGGTTCTCGATGTGAACGACGGTGATTCGGAAAATCCAGTTCTCGTTTTCTTTCACCCTGGAAATCTTGTGGAACAGGTGACAATGACGAATCGTTCCCGATATTATGCATAATTTATATTTCACGGTGTTGATGCGCATTGAAACGCGCCGTTGAGTCCTGACAGTGGGCGACGTGGAAGAAAAAAAGAAGAGAAAAGAAAAAACACCTAACGCAACAGAGAGGTGGTGGCTCATAGGTGGAACGGTTTGTGGGTGTGTCGCGGATAAAGTCGGCTGATACACGCCTCTGTCTTATTGTCGACATGCATATTAAGGGGGATGGAGGAGAACAGGAGAAGAAGAAAAAAGGAGAAGAAGTAAACCGGTCTTGAAAGACCATAACCTCTAACAACCGTACACGCCTGTGTTCTTAATGAATTTTTAAAAAGATCCTACCCGGCAGGAGGGTCTCGACATTATCCGCTTCTTTTTTGCACACGGCGAATCCTTGGTGAAAAGGTTTAATAAAATTTTATATAAAGGAAATAACGACGTGGATGTATTAAAACTGAACCTGCTCCACTCTTTTCCTCCCCTCGCCCATCCCCCTTTGGTATTCCTTGCCGCAATCGCGCGTGTATGCATCCGCGCGCGGTTTTATGTATATCTCGCTGCTGGCCGTTGCAAGATTATTGCAAAATTTATGAAGCCTTCGTAAAAACGTGGATGTGAATAGATGGTTAATAGCATTTGTCCCTCGGCCCGCTTTTACGCCGACCGACGGAGTTAAATGACACCTGGATCGCAAATAACGTTATAACGGTGTGCACACTCTTTGATCTCTCAACCGAGAGTAATTTAAATACTTGCCACGTGATAACCGGTTATTTAACGTGTCCTCTGTTAACAAGGATCTAGTTATAGAAATTTAACTACTTCCTACGAGATACCTAGAATTCTTTTGTCTCACCTTTAGGTCCAAGTTTCGCAGGTAAGTTTCGTTCGATCGTGGAATGGAAATTCGACGGTTCCGTTTATCTTATTCACGTCGAAGTTTCGTCCACGAAATACACACTTACGTGGGAAGATATATCGATTCTTAGTCGTGCACGTTTCTTGATCTCGAGATACCGAGTATCGCGTCACGTTATGCAAAAATTCTCCCCTGCTAGATCGTTACTATTCCCCGCGAGTTAACGATGTTCGATATTATCCGGTTTCTCTCTTCCACACTCCGTCCCATCGTTCGTCGTGCACGTTTCTTGATCTCGAGATACCGAGTATCGCGTCACGTTATGCAAAAATTCTCCCCTGTTAGATCGTTACTATTCCCCGCGAGTTAACGATGTTCGATATTATCCGGTTTCTCTCTTCCACACTCCGTCCCGTCGTTCGTTTTTTCTCCTCCTTTTGTCTCCTCTCCTTCTCGCAAGATTCATTCCAGCGACCGGATTTTTATCCATCGACACATCTCTGGACCGGTGTATCGACTATTCGATTGCACGTTCAAGGCGACGGCGTTAACCTTGAGTCAGATTTTCCCGTATAAATATCGCCAAGTTTCCACGTATGTAGATTCACCTTGGCTTGCGTGTGCATTGCTCGAATTCCACGGTTCGACTTTTGTCAATTTTCTGTTTCGTCACAGTTTATCCGCGTATCAAACGTTTCTCGCGAAATGTCCCCTTTTTATTCTCTACGCTAGCACGGTTCTCTCCCGGTGAATTTTACACGCGTTCCACGAGAGAAAGTTCGCGTTGCCTCCTTTTTTCTCCCCTCTTCGGGAGATTTGGAAACACTTTGTCGCGCGTAATTACACGCGGCGAATTATTTGAACGGTGGCAAAAGAGCACGCCTCTCCGTGGATCTTAGCATAAATCCTTAATCTAACCTAACCTCGCGGGAACACGCTTCTGTGTACGTGTAAAAGTGAACGTAGCAAAGAGAAAAAAATTCGAATGCCGGATCCAAAATGTATCGCAGTCCTTTGAAGTATAAAATCCTCGTATATCATTCACAGAGTCGTAAAAACTGTAACGACGCTCGGTGTAATATGATAATCGCGTTTATCACGTGCGCGGAGCTTTGAGCATTACGCGGCAAAACGAGACGCTGGATAACAAAACGAACGAAAGAAAGAGAGAGAAAAAAGACGAATTATTCGTCTTTAATTAACAAACTTGAATATAGAGAGGCGATGTATCAACGCCTCGGTTCGCGTGCATGTAAATTGTAAGGTTCTAAACAGTTTGCAATCTGAATTAACCGTGAGTCATTGAAATTTTCATATTTCCGTTTAATTGTTCGGTCTGCGGTTACATCACGGTCGCTTAATCTTTCAAAAGTGACGGTACGTAATCGACAGAATCAGTTCACGGGATAATTTGGGACATCGATACGCCGTTTATAGATACGTGAATAATAATCAGAGTGTATTCTACGGTTCTAAAATTCACCGCCCGTTCAGTTCGTCGCAATCTACCCCCGCGCGTAATTCGACTT